ATGATTTGAGATGGCCTTAGAAAGTATGCCTGGTAATGAAAATATGCTAAGTAATGAAAAGCTTATAAATAAGTGTGGCTACTGTAACCTCATCAATATTTTTGGTTTATAGAAAATGTTCAAGGGTGAAACCAGTTGCCAATCTGTTATAACTCTCATGTTGACTCAATTCTCTCTCTCCTTGCTTCCCCAGCAAACCTTATGTAGCTATGTAGAATTGGTTTTTCATCAGTTTGGTTTTCAATCCATGACGCTAAATTCATGTACAAACTCTAATAAGCCTTTTTACTTAAAGCCTTTTAAAACCCAGAAACCCGTCACTTAAAACTCAAAAGGCATTGACTTGTAAGATTTCGTTTTCTATGAGGGTTTCCAAAGCCTAAATTTGAAACTCAGAAGCCACATTCCTGAATCTTGCTCTCTAGGATCTGCTGTGTATTTCTGTTTCTGCAGCAGGGGCAGTCTCGCTGAGCTCCTGGGGGAAGATAGGTGGAGAGGCCGAGGAAGGACTGGTGGGTGAGGAACCCCGACTGTGAGGTTCCGAAAGGTATCCCAGCACATCTCTACCACTGTCTTCACAGATAAATAAATGAGAGCAGCATATGTTTTCCGAAGTGAGAAGTCCAGGGCAGACTGCATCATTTTGTGTTAATAAAATTCAATATAGGACAAGATTTTATTGAGGACAAAGAAAGGTGTGGTCGGAAGTGCAGCCTCACCACTTTTATTTCATCACATAAACTGCTTGGTCTTCTAGAGCTTCCTTCCCAATACCTGCTGTAGGAAAGCTATGTTATAATCTCCTAATTAACCAATTCTTGAAATATTATTTTAGGAATGAGATACATATTTTACATATGAGAGAGCTTTAATTTGTGCTTGTGGGATAGCCTACAGGTTATATGCTTCATTCATACATAAGATAAAGTTGACAGGTGACATTGGTTAACTTGTGCTGTTGCTTATAAAAATTTTATTAACACACATAATATAATTTATTTGTATTGATCTCATTTTAATATATATGTTAAACTTTATACAAATGTAGGTTGCAGTGAACTGTACAAAAAAGAAAATGGTAGGTTAGGAAACATAATATCTTTAAAATTACTCTTAATGTAGGATATGTAGGTATTCCTGTGATCGCATTAGAAATGAAGGTTCCCTACCCAGTTTAGAGTAGGATAGAAATCTTTTCTATTCTCCTTTTGTACTCCTCAGATTTCCATGTTTGGCAGAACAGGCTATGAAAGGAAGTGTATGAAGTTCACACATAAAGTAAAGGAAGTCGGAATACTGTTCTCATGGCCTGCTGATTCTTAAATTTCACTTAGCAATTTTTTTGCAATAACAGACTTTAAATTGAAAAATGCTTACTGATTTCACATTCAGTATGATACCTTTCAGTTGTCAGTAATAACCCAGTAAAATGAAAAAAGAAACAGGACAAAAGGAGAAAGGTTAAAGCCAGATTGAAATGTCTGCCTTCCTCCTCCTGGATATTCCATTTAATTATATTTATCAGAGCCCACAAAATATTCTAAGCAGCTCTATCTCAGCAAAAAGTTTATATATCATAACAAAATCTATCTTGTTTACTGTCCAAGCCAATTTCATAGCACCAGTCGTAATAAGCACCCAAACCTCTTTTAGAAATAATTTAGAGGGGAAGTCTCTTTCTGTGGGCTCCCTCAAAACCAAGAAGATCAATCAGTACTTCCCTCTGTACTATATGGTTTCAAACATCATTGCTATATCAGGTAGAAGTAAATAGGCATGAAGAGACAGGCTGACCTTCAAAGCAGTCTGTTGGGGACACAAAGTACTCTGGCTAATTTCCAATTTAACGTGTGCAGTGGCAGCCTTAGAAATTCCAAAGGACACAACATAAAAACCGCAAAACGTAATGCATTGATCCACAGGATCCTCTGGTTAAAAAAGTGTGAGTCCTATATTTCTGGTGTTTACATGTTTGGAATTACTATACATGTAGGTTACTGAGCTGAAAGATTAAAAGAAATGTACAGGCAGCAGTTTTCAGTGGAAAAAAGAATTAGTTTATTAGTTTTGGCGCCAGAATGCAGAATGGATGAGCTCGTGTTCCAAAATTCCCACCTTCTGGATGGTTTACATATGAGAGGCTTTATGGAGCAAAAGTCATGCCGTCATGAATAAGGGTTTGGGCTCTTAGTCTAAAGTGTGGGAAGGGAAGTAAATCGTGGTTCTTGAGGTGAGTTTCAGGGTCTCTGGGTCTGGTTTCATGCGGATGACGCCGGGGGGTCGTTTCACTTAGGAACTGAAACACAGTTTAGGGCATGATGTTATCTTCAGTTTAAGGAAAGCCATAACTTGTGACCATTGGTTAGGGCCTGGTCCTTGTTTCTTGCTGCCACAGGAAGTAAATAAAATGTAAGGGAAAGGGCTGAGGCTTATAGGGCATGTTGTGAAGAAACTGGATTGAGTGCTGGGGCTACCTGTTAAATCAGAATCATACATTATATCAGGACCTTTGGTTGTACATAGTTTACATGTCCGAGTAGTTTCTACAGAGTATTTGAAAGTCACTGAAGGCAAGACACATGGCTAATATAAATGTTTATTATGGTGCTGTTCCTTTTGCTACATTATAAAAATGAGAATGATAGTCTCCACTTTTCTACCTCCTAATTTTAAAGTCTAGTTGGAGGAATACATGCTTCGTTTCCTCTTCATCTACATTGGTGCAAACATTGAGGCTCGTAACATTTTCTTGGATGCACATTAACTGGTACGGAAATTTTGCTTTTTTATTTTTTGCATAGAACAGTAATAATTAAGATTAGTAATCCGTTTCTCTTAAACTCTATCCACAGAAGGGTACATAGAGGGGAAAGTTTGAAGTTTGCAAAATATATCATAGTATACATTTTTAAAACTTTTTCATAGTATACTTAAAAAACGTTTTCTTATTTCAGACTTATAGATGTTGAAAAATAGTGTACCCTTTACCAGATTCCTGAAATGTTAACATTTGTTACTTCTGCCTCTTGCTGTCATATATGCTGTCTAATATATAATATATATTAATACACATACACACATATGCACAAAATTATTTTTTTGTGAAGCATGTAAGAATAAGATGCAGATAGAATGCACTTTTACTCCTACATACTTCAATGTGTATTTCCATATGAAACAACATTCCCTTATATATAGCCACAGTACAGTTTTCAAAGTCATAAGTTTGGCATTGATCGGTACTATTATCTGAGCTGTAGGCTATTTTCAAAGTTGCTTGTTGTCTCACTGTATTCTTTAATAAAAAAGAAAAAAAACCCGTTTTTTTCCTGGTCCAGGATCTAATAATCCAGAAGTCTACTTTCACCTTTCACCTGAGTAAAACAGTTCCTCAGTCAAATTTTGTCTTTCATGACTTTGATATTTTTGAAGAATGCAAATCGTTTACTTTGTAGAATTTCCTCTAGTTTGGGTTTATCTTGTTTTTCCTTCTAAGAGTCAGTTAATGTATTTTTGGTTAGAGTACCACAGAGGTGATGTCATTATACCAGAAGTCCATAGAGGCTTTTGACACTTATCTCCAAAAACATTTTTTTAAATTACCAGTTATAATGTTGCATGGAAAGTAGAGTCAGAGATTCTCAAATTGGTCAAGATAGTATACATGCTCTTATTATATTTATTCTCCTGTTTTTTGTTTCTCTTAAGAAAATTTGTGGCCTTTCAGTTAGTTTTTACAAAGTGGACATTACTGAATAGCATGAGGATAGAAGGACGCAGAAAGTGCTGGTGTACTTGAAGCTCTAAGTATAAGGTTTAGAGTATATGTTTTATGGGAATGAACATGGGCCATTGCAGGGATTGACTTTTAAACCCTCAATCAAGAATGATAAATTTTTTATTCCTGGAGTACTTCTGCCAAAACACTGAAACCAATATACTATTCTCTTTTTAGAAGTTTTACAACTTCCAAGGCAAACATTCAAATATATTGAATAGAGACATAGGAGAGTACCTGTTTTATCTGGTGAAAGTAAATAGACATTTAAGTTTATTAGTATAATAGTCAGTACTTAATATATTGTTTAAAATGTTAACCCCTTCTCTATTAATGCTAGTTTCTACTGCCTCTTTGAATTATCAAGAAACAGAACTTGCAACCTGCAGTATAGTTTATTTGGCTTCTATCTTAGAATAAAAAAATTTGTTTTAGAGTTGCTCTTATTGCAACTCACCCTTCCCCTTTGCCCTCCAATTGATTTATGATAATCTCTTGCTTTAATCCAGGCAGAGTTTATAGTGATTGGGGAAAGTTCAGATTCTAGACTTGCCAGATGATAGTTTTGTAAAATAGCTTAATATTTATGATAGTTTACCTGTCAATAAAAGTGAGTCATTTTAAACCATCAGATTGCAAGTCTTAAAGTCAGAATAAAATAATCAAGTTTCTTGTGTTTTATTTTTACAATATTTGTTTAAACATTAGTATAGTGCTACTCTTTATATTCTATATCAGTTAGTTACATTTCCATTAAAATGACACATTTCTAAATTATTTTGGCATAAAATATATATTATTGCTACATAATTTGAAGATGTAATTCATAATCACTTATGCCAAAATCACCTATTTGAAATGAGGTACCAACTTTTCTAAGTTTTTAGGGCTTTAGAAAAATGTCAAATGCTTCTTTACTTGTATTATAAGGTATAGTATATTTCATGAAGATATTTAACATTTAACAATGATCTGTCCGAAGTTACTTAGCTGTCTAGGACTAGAATCTGTGAGGCAGGCTTATTTTTGATACTCTAGTACAAGTTTGAAAAGACACGCCATAATCACTTTGCCTTATTGCCAAATTTTGGATAATTTCCATTTTCTCTTTTTTTTGTAATTATGTCTAAGTGATACTGTTATTAATATACTTTTAAGAAGTTTACATAGTTCATCATTGTTTCTCATAAAACATAATCATTGTTCCTCTTTTGCTTTGTAGGAACTCATTACACAATGACAAATGGAGGCAGCATTAACAGTTCTACACACCTACTGGATCTTTTGGATGAACCAATTCCAGGTGTTGGTACATATGATGATTTCCATACTATTGATTGGGTGCGAGAGAAATGTAAAGACAGAGAACGGCATAGACGGGTAAGTATTTTCAGTCATTTTTAAAAATAATTAGGTCATTTAGTAATGTATTTCTTCCAGCGATCTCAGACTGCCAAAATATGTATTATACATTACATTTAAGCATTTTTTTTTTAGTTTGCTTATACCACATATCTTTCCAGAAAGAATTCGAGGTAGCTTAAAATCAAAAAAGTGTATAGTAACACAAAGTAGAAGAAAGGGAAAAACACAGCATATGATTTGGGGAGAAAATTAAGCCAAATTCAGGATTTGTAAGTCTGCATGATTTCTGGCTTTAATCAGCACAGCAACTATGCAAAAGAGGAAGCTTGTTACATAATCCTTATTCAAAAAGAAGAAACTTACTGGGAAGATAGTTTTATGGGGTTTTGGCTCTTTTATTTCTTTTTTCAGTTTTTGTTTATTTATTTTCTTTCTTCCCCTTTTTTCAGTTTTTAAATTCTGAGATATTTCTCAGATTAACATTGAGTATTATAATGAATCACTATTCCAAAAAGTGGCTTTTACTAAAAAGTACAACTGTGGATCTTTTTTGTTGTTGATTGTGACTTATCAGTACATTAGAATCCGAAAATAATTTTTTTAAATAATGAGAGAGGAAAAAACTCTTTGACAGTAAAATCTCAAATTCCAAAAAGCCGTTCATAGCTTTGGGGTCTTGTAAATGAAAATAACTGCTTGTACAAATTAGTTATAACCTTTATATTAATGTATATACATGGAGTTTGAACCTGCAATTGGAATTACATTGTTTATGAAAAGTACAGCTTCTGAGATTCACCGGTCAATTTTTATTTTTTCTGGAAAAAATAAGGTGTAACTGAAAATAAGACACAATACATGAAATCAGTGTTCCAATCCAGTGATTCTCAAACTTTTTTTCTCTCATCCTTTCTAAACTATAATTATTGAGGATGTCTAAGGAACTTTAGTATATATGGTTACATTAATTGATATATACCATATTAAATATGAACACTGAGAAATTCCAAAAATATCAATTCATTTAAAAGTAACATAACAAACCCATTTCATGTTTACATAAAAACACAGTTTTATGAAAATAACTGTTTTCCAAAATAAAAAATTTAGTGAGTGAATGACATTGTGTTCAATTTTTATAAATCTTATTATTGTCTGGTTTAATAAAAGATTGCCAGGTTCTCATATCTTCTTTTGCATTCAGTCTTTTGTGAAATGTTGTTATAATTAAAGCAGATGAAGAAAATCTGACCTCATAGTTGGAAAAGCTAGGCATATTTTAATAACAATTTAGATCATTTTGGATATTCTTCTTTGATACTGCACCAAAGTGACAAGTGGTAGTTCCTTAAAGGTTAGTTGCTATGTGTAATCTGAAACCATATCAATGAACTTTCTGTCTTCTCTTACGTTAAAATCCACTGGTTCACCTTGAACTTTAAATGGATGATTTTTAACATCATGCAGTGATTGATCATTTGAGATATGTTGATTCACTGATGTATGCAGTTCTTTTCAAGTGTTGACACTTTTCATTACTTGATATTGAAAAAACCCATTTGTTAATTTCAATATTCATCTCGTCAGGAAAGTTTTTAAGTATTGGGAATCTGTCATCCTTACAGTGATGGTACAAGGTTTCCAAAATTCTAATTTTTACTTGAAAGCTCAAATTCTCTCATTAGAAACAAATGCACATTTATTTTATTTGGAACAACAGCCTTACTTGGCTTAATGTTTGAGAAAATACCTGTCAAATTCATAAGTTTGAAAAACCATACTTTGGTGTCTTTCAAATAAAAATGGTGTTCCATATGAGTGTCTAGTTTATTTGCAACTCGAATCACACAGACTCATTTTCCTGAGACAGAACACTTAAAAGACTCAAAGATGGAGGAATAATAATTTCACAGCATCATCAGAGACACTCTTAAGGGAAAATGGCACTTACTTTTTTACTGGGTTATGTGGCAGTGAAGAATATGAAGACTACTAGCATTTAAATGCTACCGCCTCCATTTGTGCCAAGGAGCCAGCAGTTTTGTTGCTGCTTTTGCGTTGTCTGTCAAAATGGCAACACAATGCAAAAGGCGCATAATGTTTTAGTATTATTATGAAAATAAATTTGACCTTGAAGACCCCTTGAGAAGGTCTCAGGGACCCTCAAGATGTCTGTGGTCCACACTTTAAGAACCACTATTTTAATAACTAATGTACCTAAATCAGACACCCTATAAATCCTGTATTTTATTTCACTGTTAGGTAAATGCATTTATACTTTGAATTAACATATGGGGTTTAAATATGTTTTAAAATTAGGCAGGGTCAAAGTATCCATAAGATACCATGTTCATAAAATTTTAGGGAAAAATTAAAACTAAAACCACAGCACACCCCCTTTTTTTCTGATTATAAAGCAGTCCACAGTCCTTGAAAACATTTCAAATAATTTAACAATTTATGAAATAGTAAGTGTCCTAGCTAATTATATCAATCATCTTTTTTTAGATGACTCAGATGTTTTGAATATTTCCATCTATGCTCATATATATTATCATAAAATTTCTTAAAGCTGAGAAATTTTACACATATATGTTTTTACTGTTCTTAAAACATTAAATTAAAAAAAAAACCTCTATATCAGTCCAATACCTACCTGATTCTTTAAAATTCTATAAAAAGTTTTCTCCTAAACCTTTTATTATATCTGTAATCCTCCTGCACCACTTTATTATATAGAAGCAAATCAAAGTTATTATATCATTTCAGATATACTACTATTTCCATATTTTTCAAAATGGTGGTGATTTAATTATCATTCCTCTTTTACTTATTAGCTTGAATTTTTCTATAAAGAGAATCTTCATCATACCAATTATTTGGATTTCCGTAAGTTAAATTGTAGAGAAAAGGAGAAAGTTTGAATCATATGGCATCCCCAAAGTTGACTGATGTTTTTGTTTGCTTGCTTGGTTTTTGTTTCTGTATGTTCATGCACTCACAAATTTAAACATATTTGATGTGTATTAATCATCACAATTATTATACTTATTTATGTCCATGTTATTCCATTTTGACAAGTGGGAGCTTATTTTGGTTGGTGCACGACACATCCTTAGGAGTCTTTGATGTATTCTGGAAAAACAAGGTGATCTTTAGCTCATCTTACACATTCTCTACACTAAACCTGGAGTCAGCCATTCCTCCAAGGAGCTGGTTCCTTTGGAAAAAAATGGTTTATAGGCAGTCTGGGCACTAGAGATACTTACAGCTTCTGAGTTGGTCATTGCTGTCCTCTTAAGCTTATAGCAACCTTCCCATTTAAATCCAGTGCTGTAGGGCTTTACTTAACCTCTAGTTCTTAAATCTGTATCTCCTTTCAGCCATGCCGTAAACCTCAACACCACATACATAATCATTTGATTTGCCTCACAGTACGCATGCAACAGTTTCAGAATAATATTACTGACACCATCACTGGCAATATGCTTCCTGAAAAGTTTTAGTGTTTTCTTTTTATGATACTTTTTGTCCTTAGTGTTTCTCCCACTAGGGTTGTACATACTATGACTTCGTTTTAAAACCCCTGTCCCTCTCAACCTCTTGCCCTCTTCCTCTTCTAAGTCATGATGTACATTTAAATGTTTATGGTTTATCCTTTTATTTTTTAAAAGACAAGCATATGTATTTATATGCTTATTGTTCCTGTATAAACTGGAGCATACTATACACACTTCGATCCACCCTGCTATTCCCTCTGCATGACACTGCGTCTACCGTATTCTTTTTTAATGGCTGCAGAATTTTTTATTATATAGATGTACTGCAATTTACTTAGTGTTATGTTGATGAAAATTTAGATTTTTTCCAAGTTTTTATTTAATACCATTTTTTATTAAACATTACAGTTTTTCTTTGAGAAAAGACAGCATGAGTTTAATGTTTATTTTTTAAAAATGATCCACCTTCACTTCTAAAGAATGGTTAATATCTATGATTGGTAGCAGATAGAATAGAAGGAATAAATTGTCTCATTTAACTTAGAACTTACTAGGTCTTTTGAAAGGGACCTTGTGGCTCAAAATGGACCAGGTATTGGAAGTAGACCAGATCATCGACTTCCAGCTGTAGCCCTTCTTTGGGACACTTGAGCACTGACGTCCTAGGCAGAGACTATTGCTTTCCCTCCCATTTTTCTTAGCCAACTTTATCTGTATGCTCGTAGTAGCTAGTGTTAATGTAGTTTCTAGAATATGGCTTTTTTTCCTTATTGCTGAACTTGTTGAGGTGACACTGGTTAACAAAGTTATACAGGTTTCAGGAGCACAATTCCACAACACTTCATCTGTGCACTGTATTGTGTGTTCACTGCCCCAAGTCAGGCCTTTGCCATCACCATTTATCCCTCCTTTACCCTCTTCTACCTCCTCCCACCTCTCCTTCCCCCAGCAGTCACCATACTGTCCATGTCCATGAGTTTTTTCTCTTTTTTTTCTTTTTTGCTCAACCCCTTCTTCACCTGGCCCCAGCCCCCAGCTTATCCCCCACACAGCTGCCAGCCTGCTTTCCATCTGTGGGTCTGTCTCTGTTTTGCCTTTTAGTTCATTTGTTCATTAGATTCCACATGTGAGTGGGATCATGGCTTTTTAAAACAGCAATCCTAGTAAAACAGAAAAGGTTAGGGTTTTAAGTTTAGAAGTGCATTCTTACTAAGAGAGGGAAGACTTGGCTTCTTGTGTCTTAGGACAGTAAGATCTGAAAATCACATCTGTTGACATCCTGCTAATCTCACCTCCTCCACTAGGTTCAGGAGAGAACATAGCTGCTTTCCACAGTGATGAAGGAGAGCCTTTGGGCCCCACCGGTGGGATTGGAGCTCTTTATATCTGTGTATTTACAGACCTACAAGTATTTGTAAATTTATTTTATAGCCACTTTATTCAGATGACTATTCTCTGCTACATTTATGGGCGTGGTGCTGTTATTCACTTACCTTTTAAAGAATATAATAATCCATTTAACTGCTAGGAGCAGAAAATGACTAGAGGATGATAGACATTTCAAGCTATAATGTCTTATTTCTGTTAATGTAAAAGACAGGTATAAGCTAAATTTGATATAGGTTAGACCAGTCTGGGCCAGACTTTAAGTAATTTGTGGACCCTTTGCTCTCAAATCCTTAGGTATTCGTGTTAAACGACTTATCTCTGGGTAACCATTTGTCATCTGGTTTATAGGTGTAACAGCTGATACGGGTTCTTTCCAGTTATTAGTTTAGAAAGTACTTGTGCTGTGTATAACAACTGAGAACAATTGTTGGATTCTATAACTGTTGCTTCTCTTTTTAGTTTGAAAAATGAAGCATACACATTTCTAATTCCAGATTAACAGCAAAAAGAAAGAATCAGCATGGGAAATGACAAAAAGTTTGTATGACGCGTGGTCAGGATGGCTGGTCGTAACACTAACAGGATTGGCCTCAGGTAAAGAAACTTTTCAATGCAGTCCTTTTATGAGTAACAGAATAATAAATAGTTCTCTCTCCTCCTCACACCTTTTTTCAGGTACTGTTGGATTTTTAAAAGCGTTTTTTCCCGTTTCTTTCCTTAATGTTTTTCCTAACTTAAGGTTTCTTGCCTGAATGGTAGGAGGCTTCTGAGTCAGGTCTTGGCTCTATTGAATTTTTTTTTCATTTTTCTGGACTCAGTTTCCTTATCTTTGAAATACATAGTTTGGACCAGGTGATGAATAAAGTATCATTTAATCTTAAATTAATAATAAATAGGTAATATTTATTGAGTGCTTCCTGTGTGACATGGACTGCTCTAAAAGCTTTATGTGTATGTAAACCTCATGGAAATCCTATGCTATACATCAGCAGTTTTCAACCTTTTTCATGTCATGGCATACATAAACTAATTACTAAAATTTTGCATCACACCAAAATATGTTTTTTGATGATATAACAAAAAAAAATAGATATATTTTTTATTCATTCCCACTGGACTCCTGTTGTTGTGTTGGCCGCCATCATATGTTTATTTGACAGTCTAAGGGAAAAAAGGTCAGAGCCCCTGACTAGTTAGGTATTGCATGTTTTGAAAGTTCTCATGGCACACCAGTTGAAAATTGTTGGTATATATGTTATTATCCTCACCATTTTACAGATGAGGGGACTGAAGCGCAGTTAATTAATTTGACTAAGGTCATAAATGGTAGCTAGTAAGTGACCTAGCAAAGATTTTAAATTCAGGCAGTTTAGTTCAAGAGCCTGTGCTTTTAACCACCATGCTAGAGTAACCACAAAGTCACTCCATGTGAGATTTTAAGAATAGCATTGAAGATCTGAAAACAAACATTAAAGACTGTTTTAATGACTTTCAGCTTTCACCGTGGAAGATTATGTCCAGAAGAACATGAGAAAAAAGTAAAATTTGTGTGGAGAATAGAAAGAAGTACTGATATCTCTAAGTGACATGCACAAAAATTTTTGTGGCTGCTGTGTATGTGACTCATTGATCTTTTTATATGATGAGAAGGACCTAGATTTTGACCATAAGTTTATGTATGTTTTGTATTCTGTCAGTAAGTGATTATGATATACTTCGCTTTTGTTACTTAAGAAAAAATGAAAATCTATCAAAGTAATTCACTAATGCTAGGAGTTTCACTAATTATTTCTAATGGACATTAAATTTTAATGAGACTGGGATGATTTGTAAGTCTCTTAATTAAGTTTTGGATTAAAACATATTAGTAGAAACTGTGACTTCAGTAACCAGGTTTGTGAACCTCTTGCCAGGTAGCTGTGTTTTGAAGATGTTTTAGTATCTTTTAAACATCTCTGTTTAAAATCACAGTTAATTTGAACAATGTAGCTAGTATTATTTTCAAACAAAGAAGAGCAGTTTTAAAGAATAGTTATTTACAGTTTTTAAAAAGTAATAAAAACTTACAGATAACTAAGATTTGAAAATCTTAAGTTCACATGATATTTCCTATGTGACCTACTCGTAGAGTCCCCTGTTTTCCTTGGCCCTTTTGACTTGGTATGTCTTAACTCCCCAAAAATGAACTTAATTTTTTACCATCTCCAACGTGCTTTTGTAGGGGCATTGGCCGGATTAATAGACATCGCTGCTGATTGGATGACTGACCTAAAGGAGGGCATTTGCCTTAATGCGTTGTGGTACAACCACGAGCAGTGTTGTTGGGGATCTAGTGAAACAACATTTGAGGAGAGGGATAAATGTCCACAGTGGAAAACATGGGCAGAATTAATCATAGGTCAAGCAGAGGTAAGTCTCAAGATGAAGTAATAATTGCTATAGTGGAATGAGCCTCCAAATCATTTAATTCAGAATTAATCACATGTTGGATGATTGCAACCTCTGTTAAAGGGAAAAAAAGAAAGAAATGAAATAGGATAGAGTGGAAAATACGAGAATACTTTGCAACAAGTAAAATATAAGAATTGTTTCAAGAAACTCTTATAATAATTACAAAGTCACACATAAGTCTACTGGACTATGACGTGAAGTGTATTTCTGGTTGTAGAAAGGAAATGCAACAAGATCTGTGTAACCACAAAAAGTTATTATCAAGTCAGATTATTAAAACTGTTTAACATATTACATCACAGTTATTTGGGACATATGAATTATCAAAAAATTTAGTAAAATAAGCCTTCTAACTGGAGATATCTTGGAGAAATCCATAGATTTTTCTTCATGGCATTGCAATATTGGAAATGATTATTTTACTGTATTTGGTGTTCTGTAATGAACATTTTAGGAGTTGGAATATTATATAATATATATAGTTACATGACCATATATGGATATGTTCTTAAAATTTTGATACAGCTGAATTTTAGAGATTAGTGAAGTATAGCTGAGATTCTGGATGAGATTTTAGAGATTGGGAAGAAGTTAGGAAAAACATTAAATATTGTAGTTTAAGGCTCCTTGGAATGTATACCAATAGGTTTTTGGATTCTACATAAATGTTTTGTTCATGTAAAGCTTTTATTATTGTGAAAATAACCAGGAGCCTTTACAAGTTTTACCCAGTTTTCTTAATGAGGCAAGCACTTGCATTAGAGGTGCTCTATAAACTAAATTCGTACTATTGAACTATTTGCTTTTTAGGGTCCTGGTTCTTATATCATGAACTACATAATGTACATCTTCTGGGCCTTGAGTTTTGCCTTTCTTGCTGTTTCCCTGGTAAAGGTATTTGCTCCATATGCTTGTGGCTCTGGAATCCCAGAGGTAAGCCATGCAATATTTAGTATCATTAAACATTTAGTAATTGTTACGATGCTTATCTTTTTTCCTCTGGGGGAAAAGTAGTTGTTTTTCTGGGGAAATGTTTTGTTTGTAATATGAAAAAGAAAAGTTAAAAAAAAATAAATTGATTGTAAACAGCATTGAAAGAAATGCCTCCCTAAAGTCATTTCATCATTTACTGCAGAGGGTTTTTTTTTTCACCTCACCTCTCATTTATTACCTGGCTAAACAAATATCCGAAGACTTATTTAAACCCCAAAAACCTGAAAAAATATCTTGTGGCCTAAAGTTATTTGATGGGTCAGTTGATGTTTTGCAGTTATGAACTGGATTTAAATATATTCCTTCTCTTTATATAACTATATTTTAATTAAATAAGTTAATTTTTGAATTTGGTAGATAATTTTTATAACCATTTTAGACTTTAAACATTTGATCATAGTCAATGGCACAAACATTTGGGTTTTATTGTTTATCACCAGTAAAGGAGACTTACGGATCAAACATGATGTTAAGTCATCCTTTCCCCTTTTTTTTTATTTTAAATAATTTACTGGCTTTTTCTAGTGCATTTCTTATAAAAACTAAATAGTAGGGCCTTTTAAAGTCTATTAAGAATGTCTTCAATAAATAGCAGTATCATGTGGTATTAGCTGTTGTCCCTCATCCTTCTTGACAGACAGGTAAAAGTTACACAGAATGACAGGAATCAGAGAAGGCATAATATCTGTTTCTGACCCAGAGTATCTGAAATGCATCTAACTGTATTATGTTTCTATAACAAATATTCAAATTCACCTTTTTCTGATTTTGTAATTATAATCCTAGTGTTAAGGTCTGTATTCCCTTTAACATGGCCTGATATTTTAGTTTTGTTCATGAGATAGGGTTGTCTTCTATCCTTGCTTGGGAAGAGTGTTAGAATATGATATAAAGTTATTATATGTAGCATATTAGTAAAACTTTTGAAAAGTTAGTTGTGAATTATTCGTAGTCCACCAAAATTTGCAAGGTGATCTTCTGAGTAAAACACGAGAATAACTTAAGTTAGTTAAGTTCTCATGTCTTTTTTAAAGGAAGTTAAGCTACTTTGATTTTTCCTTTGTAGATTAAAACTATTTTGAGTGGATTCATCATCAGAGGTTACTTGGGAAAATGGACTTTAATGATTAAAACCATCACATTAGTACTGGCTGTGGCATCAGGTTTGAGTTTAGGAAAAGAAGGTCCCCTGGTACATGTTGCCTGTTGCTGCGGAAATATCTTTTCCTACCTCTTTCCAAAGTACAGTACAAATGAAGCTAAAAAAAGGGAGGTAAGTCTCTTTTGTAGTTTATTTGACATATGAATATCTGTCTTAAGACATTTCAGTGAAGAATTTTTCTAGTGTAAAGATCACACTTTGCTCTTTTTGGGTAAATTTTGTATTCAGATGAAAAATTTAATGTGAAAATTGTTTATACTTCTTTTCCTTTTTGTGAATAATTGCTAATGTCTTCCTAGCATGCATCCCCAGTGCTGCTCAGTTAATTGTATATTTTAGAGAAATTTTAGATAGACTATGTGGTGTCCAAATTTCAGTTGAATTTTCCAAAGGTCTTTCTATTTGTTTTTGTTTTGCATTACACCTCCCCTCCTCTGAAGTGTTTCTCAAATATAATATTATTTATACTCTTATTTCTCAACATTAGTCTTTCTCCAGGGTTGGGAAATCTTAACAGCTCTGTTTTCCTCTGGAGGAAGTGTCTACTGCCAGTGGGAGTTGTGTGCCATCTGCAGAGAGCTGTTGGGCACCACGGGGAAGCTCTGAGGGCCTCTAAGACCTCCTGAGGTTTAAATCAGAGATTTACATTAAAGGGGATGTAGGAATTCCCCTTTATTCAGCTGTTTAAGGTAGTTTTCTTTCTAATTTTTGTAGACCAGCCTGAGATCATCTAGATCTTTAAACTTTATATGTTACAGAGTTTCCTTGATGTTTCTAGACTGCTCTGGATATTTTCTAGAAGGAAAGTGGGCTCCTAAAATCTTCTGTGTTAGCTCTAGACTTTGGAGGCCCAATCTCTTCCTGTTTTCCCAGTCTAATCTGCAGTCTTACATGGTACAGAGCTCTTGGGTTTTTAAGGTACAATATTTTTATATATCATCAAATACTGAGAACTCTGGGGTCTCTGGCCCTAGCACGAGAGACTGTTTTATCCTGTTGTTTTTTAATACTGCGGTGAAAAAGGTAAAATATTTTTTATCAAACTATTTAATTCCTCAATTGAAATAATTCTAGTTCATTTTAATGTTAGTACTAAAACATCGCCCTTGCTCTGTTAGCAGTAGTCTGAAAGTGGGACATTTCAGAGCATCACGGTTCCATCTCTGAGTGATAATTGTGATTTCAGTACTGTCCTCTATAACAAAAATAGTTAACGTTATTGACTAATTACTGTGTATATGGTTCTGTGACACATTCTTTATTTGCATTTTAAAACTTAATTCCACAATACTCTTATTTAACTTGGCACTATCATTCTCATTTATAGGTAGGAAACTAAACTAAATCTTGGCTAACGTGTTTGAGGTTACATAGCAGAGTGTCAGAGTGTGTATTAAAATTTCTTTTTCAATCACTTTAAAGTCTACACTCTTAAACTACTGCTACTACTACAGTTGTGTGGATATGTGTTTGTGTGTGTTTACAACAAAACCTAAACTGTACGATATAGCATGGCAAGTCAGTAGCTAAATGGGACTGTAGCAGTTGTCTCCTCAGTTCAATTCCTTTGCTTGCTATTATGCCTTGACATGTTGTAGGTAAGATTTTTATTTTTATTTATTTGTTGTAAGTACAAAATGTAAGTTGTTATAAAATGTTATAGAAGTTAAATTTACCTAAATTTTAATGCACTCATTGTATGATTAGTTATGTTTATGACATTGATTTTATTCCATCACCTTAGTACATAAATGTCTAGAGTTGACTTGTTAGTGAAAGCATTAAAACCTCATTTTTTATCTTTTTTTCTATATCCACTTCCTTGACATTTTTAAATTAAGTGATTCTTAGATTATTAAGAAGATTAAAACATGTGTAAGTTATATAGGTTCATGGATGTTAACTTGATTGTAAAATTCCATTTTATTAAATGTAGAATTAGAAAATTCAGTTAAATGTGTTGTCCACAGTTCCATTAGTAGGAGGGGGCGGTAAATTTTCTCTCACTACTTCCCCAAAATAAGCAAAGTCTGCATTCTTAAAGCCAGGTACAATTTAATTAAAACAAATATTTGTTTATTTTTAATTTACCAAACAGTAGCCTGCCTATGTAGTGTGTACTCTTAATCACTTATAATTTAGTTTTGATGATTTCTAATTTCTTTTTCAGAAATGTAAAAATGACCAATTGAGGAAATGCTTTGGTAGCCTCAAATAATTACTGAAGTAGTAAAAAGAATAAAGACTTTTAGAAAAGCTATTACAAATAAATGCCCAGTGAATTTATATGTGTAGTTGGCTGCACAGTGGTAGGATTGGGCAGTGTCCAAGTGACAGAACAGGAAGCTGGAGAGAAGAGCTACAAGAGAGTTTGTTTTATTATATGGGTTCTGGTTGGTGAAACCATGTCATAAAGGGTAACCATTGTTTGTGCTTTCGGAATGAGACTCTCCACGTTGGCAGTGGCAGTGTTTTCAGAGGACCTAGAGTACTGAAAATATAGGGAAACTCAGTAGGCTTTAAGTTCCCTGGATATGTTATTAGGATTTGGAATAGAATAATTATACATGATGATGCAATTAGCTCTAAAATTGGAAGAAATTATATCTTGTTTAAAAAGACATAAACAACTCTTCCCTCAAACCAGTTACCACTCTCTCTCCACTGGTCTTCACAAACATCTTGAAAGTTGCTTGTATTTATTGCCTCTTCTTTACATCCCAAGTAGATTAATATATCACACACAAGTTTTTTTGACGGACGATTGAATTTATGAATGACCTTTGAATTAAAGCAGAAGAAAAAAAAATCTTTTTAGAGAAAAATAAATATTTGCCTTTGCTCGGGGAGGGAGAGGTGTGAGTTAATTCCAAAGACTCGTTTCTAAAATTCAACCTGAAGAATTTTTATTTGGCACATACTTGAATTATAAACACGTGAAATAAGCCACATCCTTTTTTCTAAGGTGCTGTCAGCTGCCTCAGCTGCAGGTGTTTCTGTAGCTTTTGGTGCACCAATTGGAGGAGTTCTTTTTAGCCTGGAAGAGGTAGGTAAAAAAAAAAAAAGCAATTATAATTATGTATTAAGTACCATTATGAATATATTTTGGCACACTTTTCAGTTTTATATCTGGTGTAATAGATACAGATTTTTTTTGTTGTTGTTAAAAGATTTTATTTATTTATTTTTAGACAGAGTGAAAGGGAGGGAAAAAGAGAGGTAGAGAAATATCAGTGTGTGGTTGCTTCTCGTGAGCTCCCTACAGGAGTCCTGGCCTTCAACCCAGGCATGTGCCCTGACTGGGAATCGAACCAGCAACCCTTTGGTTCTTAGGCCAGTGCTCAGTCCACTGAGCCACACCAGCCAGGGCAGATTTTGTTTTTAAGTTCTCAAAGTTATTTTCATAGAGTTACTTTCCACTTGTACATAAAAATTATCATACTATGTATGTTCTTTACCTTGGAAAATCTTTTTAAAAATAGTATTTATTATAAAACATTAGTTATTGTTTGAAAGTTAACTTTGTTGACATTAAAGTAAGCAGATATGAATTTGACGTAATAGGAAATATTTAAAACAATCTATCCAAATTGGCTAAAATACAGCCTCTTTTTATTTTAAAAAATTTTAATCAATTACTAAGTCATCTTTTGAAGTTTTTCTTATGTGATTATTTCTGTTGCAGTTATCGATGTTTTAAAAGAATTTTATTTGCTTTAGTGGAATATTTTGTTTTGTATTCCCTTTGGTGCTTAAGACTTTTTATACATCTACAGAAAAATATGACTAGGAATGTTTTAAAATTCACTTTTCTAGTTGTTTGTGTTCTATACTTTTTTTATTTAATATAGGAGAGGTAAATCAAATACTTGTTTATGAGCTAACATGAGTTGGTGGCAGTACATTTATTGTTAGCTACCATGATTGGAGGTGAAATTCCTTTGGAAAATAAAACAATATGAGTTATAAATAATTATTAGACATTTATGACTAGTTGATATTATGAATGTGTAATGAGGTGATAGAGTTTATTAAAAATCAGTATTTTTCTTACTACAGTAAAATACATTGTCTAAATTCTAGTTGCAGTAAAATTTATAGCTGTAATATTTACCACTCAAGTTATAACATATCAGAAACATTTTATAAAATTATACCATTAACTTTTCTTTTTTTTTTAGGTTAGCTATTATTTTCCTCTTAAAACGTTATGGAGATCATTTTTTGCTGCTTTAGTTGCTGCATTTGTTTTAAGATCCATTAATCCATTTGGGAATAGCCGTCTGGTCCTTTTTTATGTGGAGTATCATACACCGTGGTACCTTTTTGAACTGTTTCCTTTTATTCTCCTCGGGGTATTTGGAGGGCTTTGGGGAGCCTTTTTCATTAGGGCAAATATTGCCTGGTGTCGTCGACGCAAATCCACCAAATTTGGAAAGTATCCTGTTCTTGAAGTCATTATTGTTGCAGCCATTACTGCTGTGATAGCCTTCCCTAATCCATATACGAGGCTCAACACCAGTGAACTGATTAGAGAGCTTTTTACAGACTGTGGGCCCCTGGAATCCTCTTCTCTTTGTGACTACAGAAATGACATGAATGCCAGTAAAATTGTTGATGATATTCCTGATCGTCCAGCAGGCCTCGGAGTATATTCAGCTATATGGCAGTTGTGCTTAGCACTCATATTTAAAATCATAATGACAGTATTCACATTTGGTATCAAGGTAAGTGCAAACATGGGGTGAGGTTTAAGTGATCTTGGCATGATCAAAACTTGTATATGGAATGAGAGATAAAGTTTTTATCTAAATGTGGTTGTTTCATAACTGTTGCCTGAAAAAGTTCTTATCATTTGGGTTTAATTTAAAAAAATGAAAAAAAGAATTCCTTAGGAGATAATGTTGAGCTGTAGTATCTGTTAATCTGTAAAAATTACCCTAAAACCTAGCATTTTAAGATAACTTACTTTACTCTTGATATTGATCAGTGATTGGGGAAGGACTCAACTGGGCATGTTTTGGTCTCTCACAAAGTTGTCATCAGACATGGCTAGGGCTGCTTGTCTCATAGATACCCATTAGTCCGGCACCTGGGCTGAAAAGACTCAGACACTGGAGCTGGAACATCTGGGCTCCTGGAACATCTCTCTCTCTGGTTTTTCCAACATAGCGGTCTCAGGGTAGTTAGATTTCTTACATGCTAGTTCAGGGTTCCAAAAGCAGGTGTCCCAAGAGGACTGTTTCTAAGGACCTAGCTGAAGTCACGCAGCATGCCTTCTACTGTGTTCCATTTGTCTAGACAGCCACAGAGGCCCATCCAGGTTCAAGGGGAGGAACACACACTCTGCCATTTAGTGGAAGGAGTATCAGAAAATTTGTGATTATTGCTGCTGTAACAAATCAGCACAAACATAGTTGGCTTAAAAATCACCCAAACTTATTACAGTTCTGGAGATAAGAAATGCAAAATGGGTCTCACTGGGCTAACATCAAGGTGTTCACAGGGACTTATGGAGATTCTAGGGGAGTTGTTTTTTTGTTGTTGTTTTTTGTTTTTGTTTTTGGTTTGCTTTTCCAGCTTTCCAGGGGCCGCTTGTTGACAGGCTTAGCTCTTCTTCCATCTTCAAAGCTAGCAATGGTGCTCCAGTCTTTCTTTTATCTCCTCTTTCTGAAACTCACTCTTCTGAATCCTTCTTCCACATTTAAAACACCTTTATTATTATTATTTCTACTACTACTACTACTACTACTACTACTACTACTACTACTACTACTACTTCTTCTTCTTCTTCTTCTTCTTTTGCTTTGGGACAAACCAGGTAATCCAGGATCATCTCCTGTCCAAAGGTCAGCTGACAACCAACCTTATTTCCTCCTGCACCTTAATTCCCCCTTGCCACATAGCATCATTAATTCACAAGCATTAGGATAGCCATATCTTTGGGAAGCCAGTTTTCTGCCTCACCGTACCCCTGCAGGGTATCACCTTGACAGGAAACCACAGACTCAACAGTGAAATTACTAAGCCCATGAACACCGTGCCTTTTTCCATCAAGGATTTAAGGCCTTACACCCTGGGACATTGCTTCTTTTGAACATACAAAAGTGAGAATAGCATTTGCTAATTAGTGATGTGCCAATAAATATAATTCTGTTATGTGACTGTCAGTGATATGTATGGGTATTCAGATGTCAGATAATCCTTGTTCTTTAAATTATTGTACCTATAGTTCTTATAATAGTTCATGTTCTCTAGAGATAGTGTGCTTTCACAGCTGTACCTTATGTGGAACAGCTGAATTTAATGGAATTGAAGTGGTGTTTTTGAAATAGTCTTTTTTTAATTGTCCCCTGTATTTAACCCACATATTAATTAAATGAGTTAATTTTTAAAAACCTTGAAATTTTACTTTCTGTTCTTAGTGAATCAAATTAAAAGAGTTGTTAAAACTCCTATTTCTACAGTAAGTTGATTTTCTATAAATCCCAACTTTCTCATCCTCAGTGGAGCTACAGGAAACCAGAGGCAGTTGGCAGGCCTTTGTTATAACCCTCCCCTCTGGCCTAAGGATTCTAACTGGCAGAAGAGTGTAAAACATATTTTGATAACCTTCTACTTGGATCTATTTCATGATCCTGACATACTCTTCAACATGCCATCACTTTGTGCTTATCTTCTTTCATATCTAGAACAGTTTAGAACTGTTATTCTTTTAATGGTCTTTAAATGGTCTTGCTTAAGGTGTTTACTATTCCTATTATCCTTATTAAATTTGAGCAATAAATTCTCTCTCCTAATTAATTCAGTCATACATGTCTGAATTAATTAAAAGGAGAAAAATGTTTATTGATTAAATATATACACATATACATAGTCACTAAAAATATATTGGGAGACCTGATAACATTAACTACTTTACATTGAACCACTTAAGAGGAATAACAACTAATATTTATATCATTTGATAGAAACATATATAGAAAGGACATAATCTTGGAATAAAGGGCAGTACTTCAGACTGAGTTGATGTAGAGTTGTGAAAAGTGCTTCATACTGTTGTCTTTTTTTTTTTTTTTTTTGGTCCCACATTTTACATGGACTAATGAAAATTTTGTTACGAACTGGCATTAAGGAATCCCTGAACTCAAGGAGAAATAACCCTTGGGTTATTTTCTCTTTGGTCTAGAGAACGTGATTTGTTACTTTATAATTGATAGAATTGTTAAAATAATTGTATAATAAGATTTTACTAGAAGTTTTAATTGACACTAGGATTTTTCTATGTAAATATGAAAAGAAATCAAATGTTAGAAAGCAGTCTACAAAATGTAGGTTTCAAGCAAGTAAGTAGAGGACCTCTGTCTCACTGAGTGTTGCGTTTTGTTGCAGGTTCCGTCGGGCTTGTTCATCCCCAGCATGGCCATTGGAGCGATTGCGGGAAGGATTGTGGGGATTGCTGTGGAGCAGCTTGCCTATTACCACCATGACTGGTTTATCTTTAAGGAGTGGTGTGAGGTTGGGGCTGATTGCATTACCCCGGGCCTTTATGCCATGGTTGGTGCTGCCGCCTGCTTAGGTAATGCCACTGTGTCTGTCTGTGCTGGGTGCTTGTGAATCTGAGAGAGAAGAGAGTAAGAGTTTGCTTGTGCTTAATTGGTAGGGCGGGGTTAGAGGAGAGGAAAGGGTACAGGACAGAGGAAGAGAATGTTTTAACAGAAATGAAACAGTACTTCTATTATATGGTATTTTACAGTACTAGGTTTTATTTACCTGTCTCTGAAAATTTGTTAATGCAAAAATTTAATATATCATTTTTATAATATTACGTAATGCTCTATGACAAAAAACATCTCAGTACAACATAGACTTCATCTGAATCCTGTCCAGGGAGGTTTTTAGTTTTTTCACTGTCAAAGATCTTGATTCACCTATACCAGCTAGAGCATGGTTCTTGAGATTAGCAGGCTAGCAAAGCTGCAGAATAGCTTTACTCTGGGCTCTGCATTGATTTATTTGTAGCCTCAGTAAAGGATTTCTTTACCAGCCTTCTTACATCTAAGGTATATTTATAGCAAAACAAGAAAGGTGTAACTACTGTTTTAAAGAAAAGCCAAATATTTGCATTAAATACTTAGGAGTCTAGCCCTGGCTGGGTGGCTGAGTTGGGTGGAGCATCGTCCAGTACGCCGAAAAGTTGAGGGTTCTATCCTTGTAGGGGTGTGTACAGGATGCAAACAATTGATGTTTGTCTCTCACATTGATGTTTCTCTCTCTCTCCCCCCGCCCCCGCTCCCTCTTCCTTTTTTCCCCCCTTCCTCTAACTCTAAAATCAATAAACATATCCTTGGGTGAGGATTTAAAAAAATACTTACAGGTCTGTTTATTGTCCTTTTGGGCATGAAAAGTAGTTATTTTATACTTAACATGTCAGCTGAATTTTGGTTAAATATTTAATAGTTGGTATTTTAACTTACTTTTGTTCAGTGTCTCAAAAGTGTATAAAGTATTGATCTTCAAAAGTATAATATTGCATGAAAGTGAAGGACAGAATCATTTTCACTAAAGTAATGAGTATTTATCAAGTATCCACTCTCTGTTTAGCACTGTGGTAGGTGCAGTGAGTGATAAAAAAAGAAGTATAAAACATGGACCGACCTCAACTGCAGTCAAGTTGGGGAGACAAGACCTACACTGACTGAGAAAATAATAGTAAGCAATAGATGATGGTTATATACAGCACTGAAAGAGTCTATGAAAATTGTAGGAATCTAGAGGGGGAAAGAACTGAAGTAATTCAGGTACGGCGGAGCATGAACTTTATTTTAACAGATTAACAGAATTTAAGGGAGAGGACTTTGTTGAAGACTATAATAACGTGAAGACAAAGAAATTAGAATAGGAATAGATTTACTAATCTTGGGGCTCTGAAGAAGCTGACAGTATTGAAGTAAGAGAGTGCATTTTGAATATTTTTTCAGTGAACATTTGGATTGGTGAGAAGGAGCAGATTATGGGAAGGACATGAATTATATTAGGGTGAATTTGTATTTGGAATTGGTCAGATCTGTCACAGAGTTGTGGCTTTGCCACATGTAGCTTGATGACTTCGGGAAAGTCCCTTTTTTTTTTAAATCTTTAAAATGAAAATAAGAACTACTTATTTCCTATAGTTATTTTGAGGGTTACATGAGATTAAATATATATAAAGCTGTTAGCACAGTGCCTGATAAAATAATTGCTTAGTTAAAAAAAATTAAAAAAAAAAAACACCTTGTAAACTGACTAGGACATGTCTGGCATAGTGTAGATATGTAATATAAGATAGGTCCTTCTTCTCTTCTATTTTTAGATTTGAAAACAAGAAGGAAGAGTTTAAGCTTAATATAGTATGAACTGGTGAACCCTGGTAGGTTTTTGAACAAAGAAGCAACATGCGGAAAGTATTACTTAGGAAAGATTAGCCTGGACCATGGTTTAGAAAGTGGATTGAAGGTAATAGGCCTGGAGTTAAGGAGATAAACCCAAAATAATATTAAAATTAAGAAACAAAATCTTGAGGGTCTGGACTAGGTTGGTAATCATGACAGTGTTGAGAAAGGTAGCCATAGATATTTTGCAAAGCAAATCATATAGGACTAGGTAAGAGCCTAGATGATGGGATAAAGTAAAGGTATGAACCAAGAATGCTTACCTAGGTTGTCAGAGAGAATGTTGTGCCCGCTGTTGGAGTCAAGGGAGTTGGAATGGGGGGCTCTTTGGGAAGAAGAGTTTAGTTTTAAGTGCATGGTGTTTTCTATGACAGTGTTTTTACAGATAAATGAGACAAGCACAAGATAAGGCATGCCTAGCTGGGGGCATGGGACCGGTGCAGCAGTAGATGGAGAGATGTGGGGGTCTTCAGCCATAGAGAAGGTAGTTCAGAATGGTGGTTTGGGTAGCTGAATACATGAGTTTTCTGAGGGAGGGAACTTAAACTGCTACCACAAATGCCAAGGCATCAAAATATTTTACTCATTTTGAAAAGATTTAGAGGAAGAAATGAATTAAATTAGTATTCTACCCACATATGAATTTAATTTATAAATTGGTAGTAAACAAGATAGCCCGATGTGCTTCACTAAATTCCTTAAGAATTAATAATAACCTTTTATAAAGGAGAAATTATGTCTTTGCTATAGAAGTGAACCAAAATGGCATACTTGTTTTGGTTGGACAGCTATTGTTTTGTTGTTATTTCAAGTCTTTTGTGTTATAAGCAAAGATGACAGGAGTTCTTCTAGATCTCATTAAAATAGGATAATTGTCCTAATAGTAGTTTGTGATGATAATCCTTTTTGCTAAGTTCTATTTATAGTTTATGGCAACTGCCTAGGGCACAAATTCCACTAGCACATACAGATAAGGATCCTTCCTGTCCTTCCTGACCAGTGGTGCTTATTTTTTTCAGGTGGTGTGACAAGAATGACCGTCTCCCTGGTGGTTATTGTTTTCGAGCTCACTGGAGGCTTGGAGTATATTGTTCCCCTTATGGCTGCAGTGATGACTAGTAAATGGGTTGGAGATGCCTTTGGCAGGGAAGGCATTTATGAAGCGCACATTCGGTTAAATGGATACCCTTTCTTGGATGCAAAAGAAGAGTTCACTCATACCACCCTGGCTGCTGATGTCATGAGGCCTCGAAGGAACGATCCTCCCTTGGCTGTCCTGACCCAGGACAATATGACAGTGGATGACATAGAAAATATGATTAACGAAACCAGCTACAATGGCTTCCCTGTCATCATGTCAAAAGAATCCCAGAGATTAGTGGGATTTGCCCTCAGAAGAGATCTGACGATTGCAATAGGTACTTTAAAAAAAAAAAAAATACACATACATACCCACTTACGTGTATTGGTATCTAAGAATCTAGGTAGATGGATACGGATATATAATAGATTTCTGGAAGAAAGGAAAGCAATAAAATTTAATTGGTTGGGTTGGTGGGGGCATAGGTCTTATGATCTTTAGGGAAGAAATTTATGCTTCCATAGATTGTTTTCCCACTAAATGTAGTTTTATCTTTTGATTTGGTATTATTATCAGTTTGGAGTCAGATTCTTTTTTTGCCACTCAGGTAAGCCTTGTTAAATTGATATTCTTGATTAACATGTCATATAAGGCCTTACCAGGTGCCAGGGCTTCCAGCTAAATACATTCTCATATTTAATAAAGTTGGCTTATTTGAATGCAAGGCACTGAAAATCCCATCTTTGGTATGTTTCTAATCAGATTCACAAGGTTTTGCTTTCTTAGATTTTGGACTTAGGTTTACAATATTAACTTGCAATATCTAGTTTAAAGTGAGAAAATCATTGAGATTTTATTTTTCAGGTTGAAAAAAATACGTAAGTGCTATTATATTTTGGGCTGACATTCCTGAAAATATTATTTATAGGTGTTAGCCATACTATGTTATTTCTTGGAGATAAGTTAAACTTTTTCTGAGAAGGAGACAATTGTGTTCCTCCAAAATTAATTTTTCCTCTTACCCAAAAGTACCACAATTTTAAAGAGGAGACCAGCTCCTCTCCCCTCAACTCCGGAAGGTGGTAAGGAATATTTTCCTTGAGCTGTTGCTCTGACACTGCGGTTTTCAGTAGAGCACCCTGTATGTCAAGCAGTTGCTCTATCTCCAGAGGTTGCTCCTGTGAGGCTGTCATCTCCCTTCCAAGCTGTCCCTGTGGCCATTGCAAAAGGGGAATAAAACATTTCAATTCTTCTGCCATTTGAAGAAAGAAGACTACACAGTGTAGTTGGGGCTAATTTCTCAAATCAAACGAGAAACTCTCAGTTTATAAGAGCTATTAAAGGAAAAAAAAAAAGGAGGAGGAGAAAAGAGCCTACAGAGAATATCTTACTCAGTTTAAGAAAAGGCTTACATCTTTGGAAGACTTTTTCAAAGACTGGCAATCCTATCATTCCAGGTTTTGCTTTAAATAAGACAATAGTTTGCTAGAGTGGGCAAAATGTGTGGTCAGACTTGGCTGTCTTCAAGTATTTTAGCTTCTAAGCCATCACCATGGCCAAACCTACAGTCAGAGAAGAATTTTATTGCTTAGATTCCCATTCTTTCGGTTTTAATGGTAACTAGGCAAAAAAACAGAAAAGATGAGAATTTTGGAATTTCCATTGAAATTTAAAGAAAGAGGCCAGGTTTTTTGAAGAAAGTGGTAAAGCTAAGAATTACATTCCTACTGATTTAGTGGATGTACTTTTTAGTTTTGTCACTGTCTTAAGAAATAAGATGTTGAGTTAGAAGATAGTGTTCATTTAAGGGAATTGAGGTACTTTAGATATGTAAGATCAAGTCACATCATCAGAAATGATAGCCACGGGACTTTTAAACACAGCTTAAATATTTACCCATGTATATTTTTGTAAAGTTTTAAGTTTTTGAATGGTAAAAGTAGACCTGTACACTAGGTTTTAGGTATATGTATAATATATAAAATACCTTATTAAAGGGCAGTTTTAATTGCTCTGGCTGGTGTGGCTCAGTGTATTGCGCAGCGACCTGCGAACCAAATGGGCACTAGTTTGTTTCCCAGTCGAGGCACATGCCTGGGTTGCAGGCCAGGTTCCCTGGTGAGGGAAGTGCGTGAGGCAGCCATGCATTGCACACACTGATGTGTCTCCCTCTCTCCCTTCCTTCCCCTCTGTCTAAAAATATGTAAATAAAATCTTAAAAAACAAAAATTAAGGACAGTTCTAAATACACACTAATTCAAAATAGAAGCATAAAGCAGCCTGTATTGTTTTTGTACTTTCTCCATTTCATGGATTTCCTTTTTGTTTCCATGGCCTCTGTTCTTCCTGTCGCTTTCTGCATCTTTGCCACTTCCTGTCTGGCACTTTTGGAGATGGGAATGGAAGGAGGCAGCAGAGCCACTGGAAGGGCAGTTAACATAGCCTTTGCGAATAAAACCTGAACAGTCAGTCTGTGTCTTATTAAGTATAATTGCAGTTTCAACCCACCTGTTAATGCTCTTGACTCATCTAGAATATTAAACTCAAAGATTAGAAGAGAAAGAACTAGCTAGTTCACAGTGGTAAAGTGCACAGCACGGTCAAAGCGAGGATGAAGCTCTTTAGTTGCACCTCCAATGCAGGACAAGTGACTGAGCACAGGCAGGTGTTAATTGATGACAGACTTCTATAATTTTTGCAGGTTTTAAAATCTCATATTCAAAGCATGCATCTTTTTTTATTCTGCTATAGTTGTCCCAGTTTCCCCCCATTGCTCTCCTGTCCCCCTGCCCCGACCCTGCTCCCCTAGTCAATCCCCCCCCCTGTTGTCCAAGTCCCTGGGTCATTTACACTTGTTGTTTAACTAGGCCCTTCCCCTTATTTCCTCCCTTATACCCCCTCTCCCAAGTGTGCTTCCTTATCCCCCAAAGTTAGAAAACAGCTTCAGCCCCGTAAAATTTATACCAAAAATACTGTATTTATGTGAAGATGATTTGTTCGTGGATTCTGATTCTGTTACATGTAAAACATTGCTAAATGAGTATTCAGTCGATTCATTTCTTGATTAAGGAGATAGGAAAAAATGAAGGGACGAAAAGTCATGGGATACATTTATTTATTTGTTTAATCTCTGAGTAAGCATGTTGCCCTTAAAATAAAACCTACCCCATTTTAAGTTTTGGTTTTCTCAATCTCTTCAGAAAGTGCCAGGAAAAAACAGGAAGGCATCGTGGGCAGTTCCCGTGTGTGTTTTGCGCAGCACACCCCGTCCCTCCCAGCAGAGAGCCCCCGGCCCCTGAAGCTTCGCAGCATCCTCGACATGAGCCCTTTCACAGTGACGGACCACACCCCCATGGAGATCGTGGTGGACATCTTCCGAAAGCTGGGTCTGAGGCAGTGCCTTGTAACTCACAATGGGTACGTTTTGTCAAAAAATAAAAAACAAACAAAAAAAAACCCCCAAAACCCCAAACTGTTCACTTACCAGAATCTTCAATCCTTTTTAGTGGAATTTATATGCACTTAGGAGGAGAGAGTATAATCAGCTCCCACGTGGGAAAGTGTATCTTTTACTTGGGTTAAAAATACAGGATCAGTCAGATTGACACTTAGGGAAGAGTAAGAATAAATGTCAACTCCCTGGTCTTTGCCAAAATGTAGTGACATTTGTCAAGAGCACTTGAGAGTTGGCAAAGAGGTGCTAAAACATCGCCAACACGTATGTGGTGTTAGAGTTACTTCCTTAGACCAGTAGTGGCCCTGCCCTTGTCAAGTACTGCAGACACCTGTTTCCTTCTGTCAGTGTTTCAGTTTTAGACTATCTGCTTCTAGTAAGGTAACAGCCTTTTAGATATTTGGCTATTTACTGTGTCAGCCGTTATTTAATTTGTCATGTAATGAGGGAAATAATATATAATTAAATGAAATTTGTAAATTAGTTGAAGATCTTTAGCAAATTCTTTTGTTTCCTCTTTTCTTCTCACAAACCTTTTACATAAACTGCTAATGACAAATACTTATGTATTTGAAATGTGTAAATTGATTACTTTTTGCCTTATACACATAAACTGCCAGTGTTTCTCGAGGACAAGAACATAGGACAGCCTGGTCTGGGAGACGTCACAGGGCCTTGGAGAGGGAGGCACAGGGAGCCGGGAGCCTTGGCTGGCAGACGTCCTCCCTCTGCCCACGGCCCCTCTGTCCCTGGCCTGGGATTTGTCTCCAGGCCCATTCTCTCTAGCCCCCTTTTTCCCATTGTATTGCTGTTCCTAGTTGAAATACTTAAGAACATTGTTTTACCTGAAGGCTGATAACAGAAATGAGAATGATAGAAATGAGAAACGAAAGATTATGCATAAACTGCATGCACAGCCGTGTAGCTGGTTGAAATGCTGAACCCTTGAATATCACAGCAGGTTTTTAAAACATCATTTTGTACAAAACACATGACCTCTACCTAGAGAAAGGAGGAAGAAAGATCAAAAAGAAAGGAAATTTGTTTATTGAAGTCCTTCTTCATGTTTCTCATTTAACTTTGCAGCCCCACAGCAAAGTAGGTGGCAGTATCCCAACTTTCAGATGTAGCAGTTGAGCTCGGAGAGGCCTAATAACTTGCCCAGTCACCTGTTAAGCAAATCAGAGATCAGGAAATTAGGACCTACTTCCAATTTTAAAACCCAATCTCTTGCTATCATTTTACCTGTAATCGACTGATAGAATATTATTTTCTTTGTGATTTCTTAAACTATTGGTGTTTTTTTGGACAATATATTAGACTGCATTGTGTTAGGATTGGAAATAATAAAGCTAGAGAATTAGATCCATGTTTAGCATCTTCACTGTGCTAACCAGTTAAAATAACTCTAAATAATATGAAATCTTTAAAAAGATAAAGGTCTTGATTAAGGGTAGGAAGGTTATAATTATTAAATATCACAGATATTGTTTGGAGAAGAGATATATGTAGTAAAATAACTTTTTTCTTTAATGTTGTTTAACTTTAAAAATAATGGTAACAAAATTCACTGTTTAATGAGTACATGGTAAATGGAGTAACTTTTCATAAAGCTTTACTGGTTCTTGGACCCTTTTAATTATAGATGGTTCAGTTGGAAGCTAAGATGACTTGTAACAAACTTTTATTTGCTTTGAGTTGTTCTCTGTGCCTGGCACGGTTTGTCCTTTTATGTTCTACCAGATAAATATACTGTCATTCTCTAGTTATGAGTAATTTCCTGTGATCACAAAGCTATATGAATTAATTACTATATTTCCCATTGCTGGGAAATTAATTAATTTTCAGGTTTTTGGCAGCACAGACATTGAAAAGGAAAATATTTAGAAGAAAGTATAAAAATAATGAAGTATGGGAGAAGAGAGGATAGTTAATTAAAATCTTATACTTCTTATAAGAAAGCTTGTTGTAGGGGTGGTGGCTTTTTCTAAAGGACTATATTTAATTGCCTTGATTATACTTCCTTTATTTCTGTCCTATAAGAAACATGGATAGATATAAAAAGAGAGGAGACCATTCAGGGTGGTGTCTCGTGGGACATTTTCCTTGAAGTGTATAAGACAGTAGAGGGTTTTATTTTCACTTATAGTTAAATGATTTAAACCCAAAAAAGAAATTATATCTTCTGGTTTTCAGTGTAGACTATGAAGTTCTTGATAATTGCTCACATTTTACAGTTTATATTGGGTCCTGAGAGGTGGAAAATAACCTTTTAGGGGAGGATATAGAACAAATCTGGAACCTTGGGTGTAAGGAGAAAATGGGAGCAGAGAGACGAGTGGAAAGTACGTCTGTAAAGATGTTTGTTATAGATGTACTTACATTTTTATTTTAATTAGCAGAATTTCTCAGGCTCTCTTAGTCTCGGTGGAACTAGGAGGATGTTCTAGGATTGTTCCAAAAGAGTTTTGTGATCATATAAATTAGGAAAATACTGTATTAAATACAATTCAGGTTTATTTACTATGGTACTTTGGAGAATTTATAAAATGTTGATATTATTTGATTCTCAGATGAAATAATAGAAATGTAGTTTTCCAAACTTACTTTAATATCAAACCTTTTTTTTAATGGAGGGAAGAAGGCAGAACTCTGGTGACTGGTGTTTGTTGGAATGTAACTTTGGGAAAATATTGGGATGCTCTGCTAACTCTTACATCATTGTTTGTTAGACCACAAGGAAACAGCAAATTAGCCTTTACATGAGTCACATTTTGCATCGATTTCCCTTACACTTCCTGAAATTCACAAAGCAGTACTGAACCTGGCCTTATTATTCTTAAATCACTCTTCTCCATTAACCAAAGAAAGGAAATATGTTATTTCCTCCTTTTTAGGGCTATTACTTTGAAAATATAAGCATTGCTTTGAAAATCTCTAAATTTGCCATTTGGTCCTTAAAAATTGTAATTTTTCTCATTGTGTACCTTATGATGTGGCATAGTTTACTAATATATTAACTGAAATTAATTATTGTATGTAATTGAATAGAAAAAAATGAATAAGAATTAGACTGGAATTATTTTAATTAATTGTCAAAATTTTCACATTTCCTGACTACAAGTATAAATTCAAGTGAGTTGATTGATGGTTTTTTTGTTGTTGTTATTTATTTGACCTCAAACATTTAGTCAGGAAGAATATCTGCCTAATGATTGAGTGCTTATGTTTTATGTAATACAGTGTCTGAGTTTTTTTGGAAAGAGGATCTGCTCCCATGCTCTGAGAACTTTTTAGTTTATCTTTGTTCTCAATGATCAGTATACTGTTTTTAAAAAATTTATGTTAGAATGTTGTCCCGATATGCCAAGGTTGTGTGTTTGATCCCATCAGGACACGTATAAGAATTAACCAATGAATGCTTCAGTAAGTAGAGCAGCAAATCTCTCTCTGTCTCTCGTTCTTGCTCTCTCTCCTCTCTTTTATTCTCTCTCTCCCTCCTTGTCTCTCTCCCTCTCCTTTCCTTCCTCTCTCTCCCTTTCTCTCTGTAATATCAGTAAATAAAAATAATGAAAAAACCTTAGCAGAGAACCTATTTATGCCTTTTTCATTCTCTACCTTCCCTGCTTCCCCACCTCCACACCCAGGCATCACCCTAAGTAACTGTTTTGTAACTGGCATATCTGTAGGACCAGGCTCCTTTGACTAAGTGAGGTCCCCTGGTGACCCCTTTAAGAAGTTAGAATGTTCAAAGACAGCTTAATAGTAAAATGGACTTAACCTGATCACCAGGGAAATGTGTTCAGTTACGCTGAAGGGCACTCTGAATGGGCTTCCAGAATTTAATAATTAAAAGCTTTTTCAGGTTTTTGACATTTACTTTCTATACTGTCATATATTATAATTGAATTTACTGACTCTTACTATAAAGTCAATAACCAGTATTTTGTTTTAATAATTAAAAGTTTATTAAACTTCAAGTATCCTTATGAGAATTTATGTACAGTATTTTGCTTGATGTTATAATAGTGATACTTTGAGAAATAATCATTTAAACAAAAAAAATGCATAAAGTCATTTTGACCCCTAATCTTAAATATGTTTTATTAGCTTATTTTTAGAAGTAGTATTCTGCGGGTCCTGAAATAGGGGGTGTTTGTATTAGTCGGCATTATTTATTTGGTGCACATTGCCTTTAATTTTAATTCGAAATAATACTAAAATCCAAGGGATTGCTTAAGTCTCTTCATAGGCAATAAAAACTAAGACTTCTACCTTTTTATGGCTGAGGTGGATACACATAATAGCTCTGCATCGTGACATTTTAGATATTAGAAAAATAATTTCCTCAAAGAAAGGAACACTGACAAATGAAACTAAATTTCATAATTTTATAGTTGTGTGTTAATATTTTTTGTACTTTTCTTTGTAGTCATCGTCACTGTGAACTTTTTATCATATTTATTTTTAATTTAAAAAGGAAAACAACCCACCAATATGTAAAAATAAGCATCATGTCATTTTTGAAAGTCAGTAGAATTTATGCAAATAGGACCTGGGATTTCAAATCATTTTTGTTTATATTTTTCTAAAGTTCATTAAAAGCATTCTTATGGTTCATGTGTTTGTTTTTTTTTAACCCTCTCATTATCGTTATGATTGGAACCTCTTTTAATTTAATTTCTCACAGTTATTAGCATAACATGATCTGTTTCAGGATTGTCTTGGGGATCATCACAAAGAAGAACATATTAGAGCATCTCGAGCAACTAAAGCAGCACGTGGAACCCTTGGTGATTAGATATATCAGATCTCCTCATAGACACCTTAAAAGTCAGGAGGCATGAAACTTGTGAACTGTCAGTTCTCTCTTTCCCAGATACCTGCTGAACAAAAAAATCCTACATGCTGCCAATCACGTTAATATCTCGGAAAATATGTCTGTAAAATACATTTAAATGTGTTTAATTCCATTCATGGGAAGTAAGCATAAGTTAACCTTCATCAGAATCATTAGTTGCAATGTATGAACTGTGTAGAGTTTGGTAGTTGACTGACTAAATATCATAGGATATTTTTTAATTAATACAATATATCCATCTATGATAATGGTTATACCAGTCTCAGAGGATGCTGGACTGGTTAAAAAATGTCTACCTCATCACCCCAAATTCCTCCCCCTCGCCTTTTTTTTAAACAAAAAATGTTTCCTGATCCTGTGGTAAATCTAAGCTCATAAATCATTTTAACCGAGCTTAGCAATGTTAGAGTTGCTGACAGTTAAGTGGATTTTTTTATGGGCACACTAACTAGAGTGTAATGTGTATGTGTGTGTGTATATGTGTATATATTTATATGATCATAGCATTAGTTCTTTTTTTGCTATACCCTCCATACCTTCCATACTTTCAAAGTTAGTAATGTGTGTCCTGCCATTTCATTAGTGAATTGTACCTAGAAGGGTGTGTGCCCCTTTTGTATGATGCTTCTAGAATGCTGTAAGCAGCTTTTAGGGTCAAATGCATTTGCTTTGACTGGCTCTATCCTAGTGGTTTCATGACTAAAGATAAATTTTGAATTATTATTTTACCTTATAACCTAAACATTGTCTGGCTTTAGCAATTGATGCCTGAAATTGTTTTGCCTTGCAATTGTCATAGCTATATGAAACTTGTCCCAGTTTGTTTAAAACACAACTGATTATGTATTCCTGTTGTATGCTAATATTTCACAAGTGTTTCATGCATCCTTTTTAAGAAAACTACTAACCAGAATAATAAGTAGCTACTCATTCATTCTGCTTTGTGCCTCACTTTATAATATTTTAGGACTGCTTCTTGATTTTTCATTTATCTTTTAATGTAAGCATTAACAACTAAGACTTTCATAAAAGCACTGTATCTTAACTTTTTTGGTCAAAATCAAAAAAGGAAAACATTGATGAATGTACTAGCACCTTGTGTTGTCTTATAGATTTATTCTTGGGGTTCAGAAGTTTGCAATTGAAGTCCTGTGCTGTCCTATCTCAATTGTATGTGCTTTCATGAAGATTCTGCATACAACTGAGCAGTCTCTATTTTTTAAAAGTTAGTTTTGGTTTTAAAAAAAAAAGTGGAATATTGAGGGGATGTGGTCATCAGACATTTTACTGCTTTTTCGATGTGATGGAAATGAATATTCTTTCTGAAATGGGACCAGTATCATTTCTTGTTCACACATCCAGTTTTTGTTACTTTTTTGTTGGCATACATTAATCCAAAATAGCTCTACTTCAGTGAGGATCGCAGTGGAAAGGACATTGTACTATTAGTGACCATACTACTTTTTATATCAAAGGATGGTTGCTGGATAATTTATCTTTACCAATAAAATACTTTCTGAAAATAAAAAATCAGGCTGCTTGCTTTGCTCTATTGCTGTCAACAAAAAGGATTTGGATATAAATGTTGCTTCTCTTTTTCTTTTCCCTTTTGTTTTAATGGCCATCTTCTGTTTATCCCTTTCAGGCGCCTCCTTGGCATTATAACAAAAAAAGATATCCTCCGTCATATGGCCCAGACGGCAAACCAAGACCCCGCCTCAGTAATGTTCAACTGAACTTCGAGGATGAGGAGAGAGAGGAGGCAGAAGAGGAAGTTCGTTTGTTGGATAGCACAACTCTGTAACCTGAGGGAGTCATATACTTACTTTCTCCTTTAAACAAGCAAACAAACAAACAAAAGGAGATATCAAGGCCAGGCTTCTGCAACGTGGTTTGCAAATAATGCTGCTGGAATAAAGGAATTGTTTGAGAAGGGAAGGGAGAGAGAAGAAAATGAGTGAGGTAGAGCAGCCAGCCCACTCCTGCTGTGCTGCACCCGCTGCCTGCCGCGGAGGAGGCTGTGCCCGGAGCGCGGGCTGGAGCCCCCCCCCAGAGGACCCTGGAGCCTCGCTTGGGAGCACCTGGCCTGTTACTCCATATCACAAAGACCCGAAATCAGTCCCTGTTTCTGGAGGGATGACTTTGAATTGAGCCATCTGTAAGACTGCAGGTCTTGCCCTTTTTTTTTTTTTAAAATCAAAACTGTTCTGTTTAATTCATGAATTGTATAGTTAAGCATTACCTTTCTACATTCCGGAAGAGCTCTCTCTCCCCTTCCCTCTCTTTCTCTCTCTCTGTCGCTGTAACAAAGCCTCTTTAAATTGGTGTACCCTTTGAAGCAGTCCTTTCTCATATTGAGATGTACTGTGATTTTACTGAGGTTTCATCACAAGAAGGGAGTGTTTCTTGTGCCACTAACCATGTCCTTTGTACCATCACTGAATACTTGGAGCAGTCACATGCACCACGGCAAAGGCTGATCAAACAGGTAAAATCTCCAATGAAGCATGAATGAAATCCCTCAGCTTGTGTGCTGTGAGGTTCAGAATCTACAATGAAACGTGACTTGTAAGGATAGAGTTCTTTTTTTTTTCTCTCACATTTCATGGATAACATGACCTGGTCTTATGCCTATTTTCTGTTTCTAAAACTACTCTGATATGCAAGCACTGTTTAGCATAAGGAAACAAAATGCTGCTGCTTTGACAGTAAAGAGAAGGAAATACTCTGTTTAGATGTATCTGGTATTAATTGCATGTTTAAACACTGGAATTTTTTTTTTTTAATCAGATTGGTCATTTTTTTCCCTCAAGATATTTTACTGCTGACACTGAAGAAATGTAATTCGTAACTTGCACTAAATGTATATTTCTTTTCCTAAAAATTTACCATTCTTATTTATATTTTTATGGATTAAAATTTATAAAATACAGATCAGTTAATATCTCACTTAAATAATTTTACATTTTTAATGCGATTTTTATAGACTAATTCAGACTTACAAATACGGAGATATGAACAAAGTTTACAGTGGGAACAAGGGTTTAAGAGAGGTTGCGGTTATTTCTCTAGGATCCAAAGGTGCACATAAACCTGATCTTTCACTGCCATCCTCTGACCTGTCCATTTTGACTCATTAACTGGAAAGTGGAAACACTACACATCACTTTGCAGATTAAAAATCAAATGTTAGATAGTGTACACCCTTTTTTAAAAATCAAATGGAAACAATAAAATTGCGAAGATAGCAGTTAATATTATAATCTGATCATAAGCTTTGAATCTTCGGGTATGTCCCATCCAGAAGAGTTCTGTTCAGTGATGTTTTGCCTAGATGCAGTGCACATTTTTGCAGGATGAATTGAAAAGGTACTAGGGTGTTTTGGGGGTTTTTGTTTTTGGAAATGTCTGTCTTAATCATAATCTTAATTCACTATTGGCAAAAGCAGTTTTACTTGAAGGACTGGCCTAAATATTCTGTGATTATGCATTCTGGGTTGGAAAGTAAATTTTTTGCAGACAGATATTTTCTGAAACAACTGGCAAGGAGCTGGTTTTTGGGAAGTGATTCTTCACTTCCTAGCTTTTAATAATAATAATAATAATAATAATAATAATAATAATATATCTGTAAGATCTTGAAGATTTGTAAGACCACGAAGCCATATTAGAGTGACAATTGAAAGTTGAGCAAAATTTTAGCAACTTTGTGAAACATGCTTAGTTTTACTATCTGCCTAAAGTTAGATTTTTGTCCAAGACACTTCCCCACTTTGGCAGACTTCAGGTTTTCTCAATGGCCCCTTCACAGTTTGACCATCCAGAGTGAAGTAACTCCTAAATGATAGTTCTCTGTATTTTATTGCCAGCTTGTCTTGGTGCATTTACAGTGCGCAAGGCACAGGCTAGAGTAGGGATTCCTCAGCACTGGCTATTGAGTAACTTAATTGCTTGTTTTCAGTTACAAGCCTTCAAAGGAGAAAAGTTTCTTTGCAGATAGTTTCATAACATTCAACCTAACGTATTTCTTTTCTATTTTTTCTTTTACTTCTTTTCCCTTTTTTTGATTTTAGGATCTCCTTTCATTGCCCTTCCTGCTTCAGAGACTGACATTTCAGGGTGGATAGTAATTTTCTTCATGATGTATTTCTAACCTGATGTGTCTCACAGCTGAAATACAGGAAAAGTGCCATATTTTTATGCATTCAGTGGTTCCCTTTGGTATTCTGATCTGTTCCATTTTTCTTTTTGATATGTTGAAGTGTGTCTGCTTTTTAATCAAACTGTGAATAGAGGAGACCATGAAATATATGTGCCTAGCTGATTGGCAAATCAATTGACGGATACAGTAAGTGGAGCGCCTTATTTGAGTACCCTTTTTGAGAAGGTATGATGAGAATGGGCAAGGGTGTCAGCATCTCTTCTTAACACTTGTTTTCAGTTTGGCTCATGAAGAATGCTTAGTTTGTTAATCTGTGATGTTGCCTAGAGCTGTATTTATCTGTTTTCATTTATACTAGTGTAGTAAAGCTGCATATCATTACAGTAAAAATGATTACTGTGATGAGTTAATCAGAATATCTATTAAAATATATATGACAATTTGTGGTTTGGCCTTTAATTATATCTGTAACAGTCCTCCCACTGTACTGCTCTAGGCAGTGTAGGCCAATATGCCTGGCACAGGCAGCCTCAAAGGGTGATGTGTATAAAGCCACGTCTGCACTCGGCAAGCACGGAGCCACAAAGCGACAGGTGCTGGGTTTAACAGCAGGGTATGTGTTCAGTGTGTGGGGGCAGTCGGACAGAGCCTCCACGTCAGTGAAAGTTGCAGGGATATAGGAAGATTTCATTTTGTTTTACTTTCAAAACAATGGTTCTCCCCCGCCCCACAAGAAACCTGGTACTTGCCATGAAGAGAAAACATGTAAATGATTTACATTTAAAAAATTTTCATTGGAAATTTGCTAACAGGACTGCCTAAAAGGAGGTGGTAACATTTGAATTGTTAAAAGATTTCAGTAATCTACTAATATTAAAATTTTAGTAAAAAGGAAAACTGTTCTAAGAATTCAAGGATAGCTTTTATCATTCATTTCATTTGATCATTCACTAAGAATTTACTGAAAACTTACTGTGTACTAGGCATTATTCTGTGTTCTCGAAACTTACATTCTAGTTAGGGAAGATATATATATCATATATATCTTATCTATATAAGATATATAGTCGGATGGTGATAAATATGAATTCAGTGGATTTTAAAAACTGATTCCTATGTGCCGCACATTGTTATAGGCATGCGTAAGTCAGACAAAATTCTAAGGAGAAAAGTAATGGAGAAAATGCTCTTTTCATTGAGGGTGATCAAGGAAGGCCTCAGGGATAGAGCAACTTTTGAGCAGAAACCTAAAGAAAGTGAAGGAGTTACCCTGGCTGGTGTGGCTCAGTGGATTGAGTGCCAGCCTGTGAACCAAAGGGTTGCAGGTTCCATTCCCAGTCAGGGCACATGCCTGGGTTGTGGGCCAGGTCCCCAGTAGGGGGCGTGCGAGAGGCAACCACACATTGATGTTTCTCTCCCTCTTTCTCCTTCCCTTCCCCTGTCTTTAAATAAAATATTTTTTAAAAGAAGAAAAGAAAAAAGAAAGTGAAGGAGTGATAGTCACCTGTGAGAAGATTGTCCCAAGAAGAGGAATTATAGCAGATGTCCTGAAGTGTAGGATATGCCCTGCAGGCACAGGGACTACTTAAGGAGGTCAGTGTGGCTGGAGGGGGAAAAGATTTAAGATGAAAGAGGCTGGGCGTGTGGGAATTTGGCTTTTATTCTGAATAAAACGGGGAACCAGTGAGGCAGAAAGTGACGCGATCGCTCTGGGAATAAGGGGCCAGGGGTGGAAGCTGCCTGGCTGGTTAGAAGGTTCTTGGAATCGAGGTAAGCCATGGTAGAGGCTTGAACCTGAGCCAGTGGAGGCGATCAGAGTGGTTGAATCCTAGACATTCTGAAGGTGGAATAGACGGGATTTGCTAACGGATTGACCGTGGAATGAAAACAGAGGAGCGAAGATGTCTGCATGGTTTGGGCCTGAGTACAGAACAGTGGAATTGCCACTGACTGAAGTGGGAAAGACATGGCGAATAGATGTGGGGATGTGTACAGAGGAATTCTGGTTTTTGACATTGAAAATGACTTTTAGACTTCCCAGTAGGCAATCGTGTATGAGACTTAGGGCCAGATGAGACCCTCAGGTGTAGCCTGTGAGGTGTAAAAACTATGGGAGGTATCCTGGGACTCGATGAGAACACTGTGGGATTCAGTGGACAGAAACGGACTGAGCACTGATGTGTGTTTAGGTTGGAGACGAGCTAGCAGGAGAGGGAGCAGCCAATGAGGTAGGGTGGGGAGTTGTACCATGAGAAGGGTAGTCCCCTAAACCAAATGAATACTAGTTACAAAGAGGGTCAAGTGTCAGGTGCTGCCGATAGGTAAAGTGAATGAGGGCTGAAAATTGGCCAGGGTGGGAGTAACTGAGGAGTCTGACCAAAGTCCCTGCAGTGGGATCATGCAGAAGTCTGATTGGAGTAGATTTGCCAGGTTAGAAGGAATCAAAGGCAGGTATTGCCGTTCTTCCTGAGTTTTTCAGAAAAGGGATGTGCAATAGCGTTTTAGGATGCAGGACACTATAGCTTTTACTGTTGGTGTGAATGTGTGAGGGAAAATTGATGATCTCAGAGAGGTCCTGAGTAGCTAAAAGGGATGGCATCTCAGGCACTTAGCAAGACACTAGCAGCCTTCCTAGGAATGAGGAATAGGTAGGTAGTAGGTGGTGAGACTTTGTGGAAGTTATTTTGATTGCTCTTTTCTTAGGGAAATAAACTGAGGATGGAGGTGTTGCATGTTTGAGGAAAGATGGGAAGTAGGGATTGATGGGCAACTTGAGGTTCAAATGATACCAGTCTTTATGGTGGTTCATTTCTCCAGCCACATGAATAGTCAAAGGTTTGGTACCAAGGGGGCTACATACTCATAGCTGGACGAGGCATGCTGCTCAATTAAAAATCCTAACTGGAAGTGTTTCCTTTGAATAGTCTGCTTGTTCCTTTTATTCCCCCCGCCCCCCCCCCCCCCCCCCAAAAAAAATTATCTCCTAACATCTGTTTAAGGACACAGTTCACAGAGTAACTTTGGAAACTGACTTCAACAAAAGCTCTTCGGGTAAGTCAAGTCAGTCTACAAAATGTGGGGACTAAACTAGATGACTTCAACTTTATATGAATGGCAAAGAGCTCAGGCTCTTTAGCCTAATCCACAGTTTGCTGTTTGCAAACAATGAATTGTTTGCTCTGTTTTTGAAGTGAAGTACGTTTTGTCAGGTTTAATGAGGATCTGAATATGGTAAATGCAGCTACCACAGACTTGTACTGGAAGTCCAATGAAATAATTAGCAGTGAAAAACTAAAATCTAAATCAATTGTCTATTGATTTGTATACTCTTATCAATATATTATGCAATATTGATTAGTAAATACAGAGTGAGCCAAAGGAGAATTGTTTTAAAGAATATTCCAAATGGGAAAGCTACACTCCTTAGGTGAATACATGAACCACAGGAGGTATTGTTAAAATGCAGTGTCCCTGGGCCAGGTCAGGCACTCTGGGAGGTTGCGGGGCAGCAACATCGGTGCCTCTCCCTTGCGCCTTCCCCACCTTCTGTAAATCCAGCCCTTAAATCTACAGCTATTGACTCAAGTCTTAGAACGAAATTCTTCGTCTCCCTTGTTAAATACTGAAACTGGACTCCCTGGAAGAAGAGGATAGATAGTCTGGTGACTTCCTGTGACATTAGAAGATGACTTTCTTTCAAATGTGATTAGGGCATCACCATTTAGATGATTTGACTACAATTTATAGACACACAAAAAAGAAAACCAGGCCAGAAGAGACTTAATAAAAACTTTACTAAATGTTTCCATCAATTTATTTTCTGTATCCCTTAAAAACAAACAATCACAAGTTTAATATTAATGCTTTAAAATACTGTATACCAAGGGAAGCCAACTCTCACTCATGCTGCAAGTTGGTCTATGTTCTCTTTACTTCTGTTTGCCAGGTGATCTTCAATAATTTCTGCAAAGAGATTCCTTTTCAACAGATTATATGCAAGAGGTAAAAGCTGGCCAGCAACTTTATGAAAATACTGAAAAATAAAAACATAACAATAAGCAGAGAATAAAGCAGATGGCCTAGTAAGTAATGAAGTACTTTGAAAAAGCACTTGTTTAATAAAGCATACTCCCCTAACCATTTCAGTTACTTTCTCAATTAAGACAGTACATTCTGAGGCAGACGTCTGGTATTCTGTCCAAGGGGCAATCTTGTAGCTCTACAAGACTAAAGGTATATTTCGGAAGAAATTTGGAAGAAAACCAAGTTAAAAATGTAAGCTTTCCTATTCCCTTAAGGTTTATCAACCTTTTTTGGGGTTTTTTGCCTCAGTGTACCCTTACCAGTTAAAATTTCCTTTATTTCCTCAGTTGATACTATAGGAACAGGTATGCTGAATTTGAGTTTTCTAATCACTCCCTTTTCAAGTTCCTTTTCTCCCCCACCCACCATGTAACCCCTCCATCGAGTCACTGCCTTAGGCTTACTAGATGACTTAGACTATCGTACTGCTATTATATACTAGAATAAAAACTGCCAACGCTTTTGTTGATGACAGTCAATCAGCACTATGTTCTAAGTACTGCACTAATAATAAAACCTTTTCATATAGTCTTATTTAATTTCTCACAACAGTCATGTTTTTTATTCAGCTGGTCCATTTTCTGGCAGGCCAAGCACAATTCTGGTTGGCCAAGGACTGTCATTCTGACTAGTAAACATTTGGATTTTTTTAACTCCTAGCCATGTATGAGGAAGGCAGAGAACTGACAGGAATGTGGTTCAGGGCAGAGTTCTCAGACTCACCAGACCTGGTAACGCATCAGAATGCGAATCCCAGGGACCCACCCAGGGATGAACTCACACTTTGGGGATGGGAGGACACACCAGTCTGTGTTGGACCAGCCCTGCGGATGGCTCGGGTGCCGGCCTCGCCTGGCTTCCCCACATGCAGCGCTGGGAGCAGAGCAGTCAAATGCAGTGTGTCAGGCCCCGCCCCAGGGCTACCGAAACAGAGCTTGCATTCCAACCAGATCTGTGAGTGAGTCCTGTACACTTCACAATTTGGGAATGACTGATTTAGACACTGACTCTAGAATCAGACTGCCTGTGCGAGGTGGTTTACCTCTCTGTGCTTCGTAGGTGCCGTCATAAGTTGACTGGAATTAAATGGTCTGTGTGCAGACAAATTTTATAGGTAAGGAGACATACAAAGGTGTTGGGAAAACTGCCCAATCTTACACAGCTTTTAAGTGGGAAGATGTAATTAAAAACTAAACAGTTTCGCCCTAAAAACACATTGTAGACACTACACTTTATTGCCTCTTTGTTCTTAACTACAGTTGAGTGAGTAACTGCTGGGTAGGTTTTTCCTATTTAATTAGCAAATAGTTAAAATATGAGATGCTATTTTCCATTAAGTAATTTAAGGCCTATTTTAAAATAGTACTTACTCTTCATCTAGGGAGTCAAGCATAAGAACAAATCCCACCCCCATCACAACAGGAAATTACAGAGCCCGAAGAAAGGTGTGTGTGCATACCCCCACACACACGTCTCCCAATAGTGTGTCTAATGAGTAAATTCACCTTAATGGAAACCTAAAGGCAAATTATCTTGGTTATTCATTCACGTTTACCAGAATAGAAGATGAATTTCAAATAAAACATATTTTTGAAACATCTGCTTAAAAATCACAAAGTT